TGATCTTCTATTCTATTCAGTTATTTCAAGTTAACAGAGATTGCCTCACGTACAGGTCAAGGAGAATTAGGGCAGGGCGGATTCTTGTTCTTTGATAAAATAATCTCCAGATAATCTTGAAATCTATTTTGGGAATAACAGATGTGGTTCTAACTGGATCTTTCTCAAGTTCTTCCCAAAGCCCAGGTTGGAACTCTGCGTGTTCCTCGGAAACTACACAACTGGTATAGTTATAGAGTGGAGCAGGAATCAGTTCTGGTTGCTCCTCTGGTGTAATTCTTTAGTGGCCAAATGAGTTTTGAGGCTGTTTTACTGTCTTTCTGGACCTCTGCTCCTTCCTCCGTAAAATGGGGGTGAAAACAGTCTTGCTTCCTTCACAAAGTTATTGTGGAGCTCAAATTCAATGGCACAGGTGCAAGTTTCTGAGGGAGCAAACTTGACCATCTTCTAGAACCCTCACCTGCATTAAACACCAGTCCTGTAAGAGGGCCCATGAGCCTCAGCTAAAAGGACAACTGTTTACACGTCATACAGCTTGTGTTCTTTCTCTAATTGGCCGCCTGAGTTCTAGCCTAGGTTTTAAATTTGTTTTAAAACAAAGATTGAGTTTGGTCTCATGAAACTGCCTTAAATAGTCAATCTATAATTAGCTCCAGCTGAAGCCTCAACTCCCAAAGTCACCACTGGTGTCGTCATCTCTTTTCTTTCTTTAATAAGCCCTGCCCCTCTTTTGTCCCAGGACGGGCTTCTGGCTCACATGCCCTTCACAAAGAAAATTTCCCTGGCTGGCTGCCTTGGGTTTCTCTGCCCACTTCCATTTTAAGTAATTTTCCCTCAACTGTCTCAATTTCTTCCGAAAGAAAGGCAGGTGCCCTAAACTGCTGGTTCATGTCTAAAGAAAACTTGCCTTGACCTGTTGTAGGCTAGCCAGAGGCTTTGTGTGGTCACATGGCCTGGGTTCACACCACCCACTGATAAGCACTCACAGTGGGTTCCTGCGCAAACCCTAGCATCTCGGACTGGTCCTCTGGGTCTCAGGAAGCAGCTACCAAAATTTGATGTTGTGTTTTTCAATGCCTATTCCCATGGCAGATGACCCATTTCAAACCGAAGGGCCCCCACATTCCCTTTTGGCTTTGTTCTGCAAAACTGTAGTACTGCTTTTTCTGTGTGTAGCTAATACTGATAGAATTTCAACAGGAAGTGGTATGGGGGGTTCATGAGGGAGGGTGTCTTCCTGTGGCCCAGTTATTTACAAAAAGCAGGTTCACTAATACTTCAACAACATTTGTCAGAGGACTAGCTTGTGTATAAATGAATAAAATGGATCATTCCCAATTTCTCTCAAGCTGTACAATAATGTAACTTATTTAAAAGCCGAGTTGTAGAAATTGAATCCACACTAACTCCACACACCAAAAGAATGATAAAGAATTGTTTCATATCACAGAACTAAGATCAGTGACAGAGTCAAAGATTTTAGAGCCAATGTGACCCCAAGGGGCAAAGCTCCCTTTGGTTAATTAAAAAACTTCCTTAAATACTGGAAAGAAAAATGATCACTTTCTCCTTATTTGCCCTTATAGATTTACTGCAAAAAAAAAAAAAGGATGAACATCAATATCAGATGTTATCATGAATCACAGTTGTGGCACAAAGCATGTATAAATACTGAATAACACCTGCAGCCAAATGCCCTTGATGTGTCTGGCAGCATATGTCAAGTGGGTGGGTTCACAAAAGCAGAAAGGTTCACCTAGGCTCACACTTCACTGAGCCCCTAAAGCACAGACCCTCTGAGTTTAGCCATCTTATCTTTCCAGGCGACTTATTCATCAGATATGTATGGAAAAAGATCTAGGGGTGCCTGGGTGGCTCAGACAGTTAAGCGTCTGCCTTCCATTCAGGTCATGATCTCTGGGTCCTAGGATAGAGCCCTACCTTGGGCTCCCTGCTCAGCCGGGAGTCTGCTTCTTCCTCTGCCTCTCCCCCCTGCTCGTGCTCTCTCCCTCAGATGAATAAACAATAAAATCTTTAATTTTTTAAAAAGATTTTATTTATTCATTTGCGAGAGAGACAGAGAGAGAACAAGCAGGGGGAGAGGCAGAGGGAGAGGGAGAAGCAGACTCCCTGCTGAGCAAGGAGCCCAATGCGGGATTTGATCCCAGGGTCCTGGGATCATGACCTGAGCCGAAGGCAGATGCTTAACCATCTGAGCCACCCAGGCGCCCAACAATAAAATCTTTAAAAAGAATATCTAGCTCACAACACTTATTTTGTGTAAAATGCAGAAAAAAAAATCTTAAATTTGTCTCTAAGCCTCTTGGACTTGGCCAAAGATTCTATCTTACATAGTGTTACTCTTGGTCTTCTAGGCTGATCGCAAGTTAAATACTTTAGATGTTGATCAACTATACTGCGGGCAGGAGTTAAAAACACCTGAGACACATCCACCTGACCAACAAATGGGTTCAAATTCACTGGTGTTTAATCAGATTCTTCTCATACTTGGCTATGAGAGATTCTCGAGCTGTTGTATGTTTAAATGAACCAAACAAACTCAGAAGAGAAACAGGTTACTAGGTAAAGTACTCGGAAGTTCTAGCCCAGGCTGGAAATCAAGTTAAGCCACAATAAACGAAATATTTGGGAAGGGTACCTGCGGCTATCAAGCCAGGCTGGGGAAACAGGAGGGGAGACAGAAGGGGAAGGGATAAGCCTCTGCTTGAGGTTCTTCTAAAGAAAGGACAGCACTTCCCTTTCTGGCAGACCTAGGTGGCCATTCTCTGTCCCCCCCATCCCTCTTGGCCAAAGGCCACTCCAGGATAGGAATAACAATATCCCTTCCTAGGTGTGCAACACTTTCCCGTTTAGGAAGAATTTCCCCCCTGGCTTCTTTCACTTTAGATCACGATCCCATCTTCTGGATAAGCATGTTAATGGGGATGAGCCTAAACCATGAGAACTGTCAGTCCTCAACCACCTCCTCACAGATCTGCCTGAAACCCCAGTTCCCATTTTTTCTACTCCCACATGCTTCTCAGAGGAACAGATCAGGGCCCACGGCTGGCATGGAAACAAGAAGGGAAGGGAGGGGTGCCGCTGAAGGATGGATGAAATAGTGATTGCGGGGTAGGGGAGGGCATCGAGTTTAGCTTGGAGGTCAGGAGGTGACAAAAGGCAACTCCCGAGACTTGGCCTTCTACTTTGGGGAAAGCCTGAGCAAAAAAGGGCTATTCGCCCACCAGACAGCCCTAGAGAGTGCCCACCTGTGCCTACGAAGAGCCTTTTCCCCCCAGACCAAGAGCCCACAGAGGTAAAAAAGCAGCTCCACTCCCACCAGGGCATACATGGGGGTGTCCCTCCCAGTCCAAGAGGCCGTCCACCACACCTGCCACGCTCCAAGGGGCTGCTCAAGAAGCCGGGTCGTTCAGACCTATCACCAAGCAGCCCAGACCTGTCACCCGGACCGCCCGGAGGAGCTGGGGCGCGAAGGGGCCCCCTCCCAGCCCGCGCGGACTGTGCGCGCCGCCTACCCGGAGCTCGCCCTCGGTGCGGTGCAGTCCCAGGCGCCGCAGCCCCACGGCCAAGTCGTTGACACACAGGCCGCCGTCGCGGTTGACGTCGAGAGTCTGAAAGAGGCTCCACAGGCGCAGCCGGTGGTCCGGGCCCCCGCAGACGGCGCCGCCGCACGGGTCCACGGACGCCGGCGACGAGGCGGACGACGAGGCGGCGGCGGCGGCGTCCGGCGGCGGGGAAGCCACGCAGCGGCACAACACACTGCTCACCATCGGGCTGCAGGGGCGCCGGGCGCGGGGCGGGGGCGGCTGGCCGGCGGGGAGAACGCGGAAGACACGCGGGAGTCCCCAGACGGCAAGCGCGGGCTGCTAGAAGCCGGCAAGCTGGCGGGAGGGGCCGCTTCCGGGAGCCCCGCCCCACCGCCCGCCGCCTTGTTGGCCACGCCCCCATGCGGGCCGCCAGCCAGTCATAGGCCTGGACGGCCACCCGGCCGGGGCGGAGCCCCCTCGAGGACCGCCCACACCGCCCTGGACGGCTTGGATCAATGGAGAAGGCGGGGCGATCCCTGCTCAGTCTGCGGCCGATTCAAACTGAAGGAGGCGGGGATTGGCTGAGCTGGGCCGGAGAGAGGAAATCACGCCGCGATAGGCAGAAGTTCTGTGATTAGCAGGCGGAAGGCCCCCTGTCCAGTTTCCATTGAGAAACGCTGTTTAGACTGAGGAATCGTAAGGATAGGAGGAGCGGTCGTGTACAGAGACAGAGTAGTCTCCGGTGGGAAATAGGATTTGTGTGAGGAGTAACTGTGAGCTGCGGCTGCGAAGCAGCGTTTGCTCCCGTGAGTGGAATTAAAAATTAATTGGCCAATGGCTTAAGGCCGAAAGCACTCAGGTATCCTCAGGAGGCCAGGTTTTGGTACTCTTAACTCCCTAAACTACCAATAAAATAGCTGAATTTAACGGCGTAATACTCGTAATGCTGACGATTGAAGGACAGAACAATTTTCCAATGGAAGTGAATAAAGGCAGGTGGGCAAAGCGCTCTGTAGCGACAGACACACTTTTAGACCAATGACCAGGCCAATTCCAGTGAGTAGGCGTGCTCTTTAGTTGAACGACAGATCAAAAGAACCAGTGATCGACGTGACGTTTGAGCCCCGACCAACCAGGAGGGCGGGTTCCTCTGGAAAAGCTCTGGGAGGCGGGAAGAGGGGAAGTGGGCGGATCTCCGCACACCCCGGCGGAAGAGGCAGATTCAGGAAGCCATTACGCAGCTGGCTGGCAGCGGCCGGCCCGGTCGGGACTGGGCCCTACGCACTTTGCGTAGCGAGGGGGGTTACCAAAGGCCTGGTGCTTGGCCTGGGGCAAGCCCGGCCTATCCCCTGAAGAGGGGTGGGTGAGGGGAGAGGCTGGGGAAGAAAAGAGGGGGAATTGGGGCGTTTGAGGGGATTATAATTTATTTTAAAAAGGGGGGTGGGAGAGGCCATGGCCGTCCCAGCCAAGAAAAGGAAGATGAACTTCTCTGAGCGAGAGGTGGAGATCATCGTGGAGGAGCTGGAACTGAAGAAGCACCTGCTGGTGAACCACTTCAATGCCGGGGTTCCTCTGGCTGCCAAGAGTGCGGCCTGGCACGGCATCTTGAGAAGGGTCAACGCTGTGGCCACCTGCCGCAGGGAGTTGCCTGAGGTCAAGAAGAAGTGGTCTGACCTCAAGACCGAGGTCCGTCGCAAGGTTGCCCAGGTCCGGGCAGCAGTGGAGGGTGGCGAGGCCCCAGGGCCCACTGAGGAGGATGGAGCCGGAGGGCCTGGGACAGGTGGTGGCAGTGGCGGCGGTGGCCCAGCTGTAGCCCCCGTCCTGCTCACCCCCATGCAACAGCGCATCTGCAACCTGCTGGGCGAGGCCACCATCATCAGCTTGCCTAGTACCACAGAGATTCACCCCGTGGCCCTCGGACCCACAGCCACTGCAGCTGCAGCCACGGTCACCCTGACACAGAGTGAGTGACCTCTCCCACCCAGTCTGTCGTGCATAAATGGGAAGGGCCAGCCAAGAGCTGGGGCAGCCTGGGGAAGGTTGGCTGCCAAGGGTCAAAGGTCAGATGGGAGTCTTGGAAGACCATGAGGCCTTCCAAGAGCTCCCCAGACAGAAGTGATCCTGTTCTCTTTGGGACTTCCTCAGCACGCAGTCTGGGCTTCTGATGAGCTGGATTGCTCTCAACTGTTTTGCCACCATTCATGTCCATGACTGAACTATTTGGTCCTTGAAGACAGAGACCTGTCTGTATTCCCACAAGACTTATCGAAGGGCCTGGCACATAGTAGGCAGTCAGGACATACTTGTCGAATGAACAGATAGATGGGAATAATAATACCCAAGTAAGACATCTATTCTGGACAAAGACGTTTTGGGTTTTCAGTGCGGCGAACATTCATCAGGCATTGCTCAGAAACCTCATGGTTCCTTGTGTTAATCTATTCATTCCTTCACTTCTCAGACACTAGTGCTTATTCCTTCCACATCAGACCCTGTGCTTGGCACTGGGATTACCAAGGTGTTTAAAATACAGGCCAGCTTTATTCTAGTAGGACAGATAAGACACACATACAAATAACTGTACTGTCAGGGGAATCTAAGGACTCAGGAGAGGAAGGGGCTTCCTGGTTGGGGTGGGGACTCAGAGCTGATGTTGGCATTGAAGGGTGGAGAAAATTGACCTTTCCCACAAGCATGGAGGCCCAAACAGCCCACCCAGAATTCCTTTCAGAGGTTCTCAGTTATGAACGACAATGGTTTGGTTGGACTTTTTAGTTCAGATAAGGCTGTGTACCAGTGACTATTAACTGCTCGTTTGTGCTGGGCTATGATTCGTATCAGTCAGTAATTCTCAGTGGGGCTTGGGGAAATTGGGTGTATGTGTGAGTGCCATCCCCCTGCAGTCGTATTTTCTAAGGATATCAAGGTGGGAAAAGAGGATCAAACACTGGTCTAAATCAGCTGCTGTTCTAGAACAGGAAGGACCTGTGACCTGTAGATATTCCACTGGGCAAGGTGATCAAGGAGACGGGAGGCATTTATTAGGCACTGACGCAACTGCTGTCCCGCTCCCACCTCCTTTTCTGCTTGGCCATAAAAGAAGGAGGGAGATAGGACTAGTGTGGCTGCAAACAGTTCAGGTAGAGTCCCACCCAAGATGGCTGCTGTGTGCTGGTCCTGCAGGGAGCATGTGGCCCTGCCTTGATTAGCTGGAAGCATCCCAGTGGGGTGGTTACGAGCAAGTTGGACTCTGGTGTTAGGGAGACCTGGGTTTGCTTCCTGGACCTGCTAAATAAACTGTGACCTTAGGCAAGTCACTGCATATTTTTGAGTCTGTTTCCTCATCTCCAAAAATGAACATGACAGTACCTGCCTCTTGGTGTCATCGTGAGGATGCATCAAGCTAACGAGTGCAAAGGGCTTAGCACAGTGCCTGACACATAGTGGGTGCTCTAAATCTTTTGCCAGTATCGTATTGTTATTAGCAGCTTTGCTTTGGCCAGATCTGGGGCCGGCCCTTTGGTTACCAAGTAGATTCTAAATGCTTTAGACTCTAGATTTATAGCGAGAATAGCTATAAAGCCAGAGGAGACCTGAATTCCCCCCTGAATAGGGCTTGATGGCCTCCTCTCTACCCCACGTGGCCAGCTCCATTCTTTCTAGAAGGTAACCTGCCACTGCCTTTGCTTTTTCTTCCCCGCAGTCCCCACGGAGACCACCTATCACACGCTTGAGGAGGGAGTGGTAGAGTACTGCACGGCGGAGGCCCCCCCGCCCCTGCCAGCCGAGGCCCCCGTGGAGATGATGCCCCAGCACGCTGACACCTCGGTCAAACCCCAAGCGCTCAAGAGCCGCATAGCCCTCAACTCAGCCAAGCTGATCCAGGAGCAGCGGGTCACCAATCTGCACGTGAAGGAGATTGCCCAGCACCTGGAGCAGCAGAATGACCTGCTACAGATGATCCGCCGCTCCCAGGAGGTGCAGGCCTGCGCCCAGGAGCGCCAGGCCCAGGCCATGGAGGGCACCCAGGCAGCGCTGAGCGTCCTCATCCAGGTCCTCCGGCCCATGATCAAAGATTTCCGCCGCTACCTGCAGAGCAACACGCCCAACCCCACACCCGCCTCGGAGCCTGGACAGGTGGCCCAGAACGGGCAGCCGGACAGCATCATCCAATGAGGTCAGGGGTTGCGCCAGCCTTGTGCTGTGATTGGATGACACCACTGTGGTCTTGTAAGTGGGTTCTGTGACTGGCCTTAGGCTATGGCTGGCCACATGGCCAGCTCTGTCTTTGATTGACTGTTAGGGGTCCACTGTTTCTGAGAAGTGAAGGAGACTGAGAAGAACTTGTTGGGCTCCTGGGACCCAAACTGTCTTACCCCCACCACGTGAGCTGCCTTGCTAAGAGCCTGAAGATTGGCTAGGTGGGGGTTGGGAGCCAGTGATACTACGGTGGCGTCACGAGCCAGGGCTTGCGACATGACCCGGACTCTGTCTAGGACACCTGGAGCGGAGGTTCTCACCAGGAGCTGTCTCACAGCCGGGGGGCCTGTGCTGAAATGCTCCCCCACCCCGCAGTGCCATCCTGTTGAATGAGACAATGTCCGTGGTGCTGGTGGTGGCACAGTACCTTCTTCCTCCCTTGGGAGGCAGAGTGACTGGGCCTGAGGAGGAAGCTTCACCCTCTTCTCCTTCCCACTGTGCCTCCGTTCTCAGGGGACTCTAGTCCATCTGTGCTCTCCCCACACCCCACCCCACTCCGGGCCTAGCAGGGGCCCTTGTTAGACCCCCAGCTGCCTCTGCAGGACACCCAGGATGCGGCCTGCTGGGCTCAGGGATGCTGGGTGTGTTGGGGATAGCCTGGCCACCATCCGGTCTTCCATTGCATCCCGGGGCAGCCCTTTCATGGTTTGTCCTGACAGCTTTTGACTCAGGGCAAGCATTAGGCTTTGGGTGCTGTAAATTTGAGAGAAAACAGACCAGCGTGGAACCTTGTTGCTCCACTGCAGTGGGTCTAAGGTGACCAGTTGGCTTCTTCCAGAAGGCTTGCTTCAAGCCAGTTGTCTTTATTCTGTATGCCTACCCCTCCTGGGAAGGGGTGGGCAGCTCTGGCCACACTCTTCCTCCTCTCCTGTCTACTGACTGCACGATTATGACACTCAGTGTGGGGAAAAAAGAAAATAACAGTGGGGGGAAAAGGGCATCACAGCCCGGACTCCCTCTCACATTATTCAGCACCTCGTGTTCTTGCGAGACCCCCACTGACTGGCTAGGTGCATCTGAAGGCCTGATTGGCCCCGAAGGTTTGAGGTGGGAGAGCTGAAGCTGACCTAAGAATTGGGACCTTGACTTCTGTTCTTGGGGAAGAGCAGAACTGACCTCGGAACGCCGAAGGAGGTAGTGTTCCCTGTTCCATCTTGACACTCTCTCCCCTTCTGTAGGGAGTTTACCCAGATAGCATTTGTCTGGTTCATTTTCAGAATCACCCTCGATCACTGAGACCCTTGCATCTTCCCAGATCATTCCCCAGGATTGCCATTTTGCTGCTGGTGCCTTGGCTACACGTGACCAGTGGTGACAACTCGAGGCTCCAGATCTCAGCTAAACAATCAAGGTGCTGCCCTTCTGGGCAATGTATGTTTAGAATTGCTCGCTCCACTGTTCCCATCACAGGAAGATGCCCCCGAAGACGGTTGGGAGGTGACTGCTGTGCCACCGGCCTCTGTGGAGGACAGGTGCAGCGCCAGCTAGGGACCAAGGGAGAGGAATCAGGCTGGTGAGGGGGTGGGTGACAGAAGGAAAGCTCCCCAGTGGGGCTGGACAGCAGCTGCCCCTGGCAGCCAGAGCCCCCTCCTTCCATGGAGCCTGATGCCCCTGGCAGGGAAGCTGTGGGGCCTTCCTGAGGCTTTGCTGCTTGGTTTGGCTTTTCTCTGGGGTTGGCAATCTGAGCCAATATTGCATCTGTTCCAATTGAGTATAAAGAGGAGGCCTGGATCACTTAAACGGACTGTTTCTTTCCAGGTCATACTTTTAAATTAAAAAAATATATCACTTTTTTACACGTCTGTGTCTTTATTGGTTCTATATGGAAGAGATATGGACTGGCAGCGAGCAGGGGCTGGCACACAATGGCCCACAGGTCAAAACTGGCCCCCCACCTGTCTTTGTAAATAAAGTTTTATTGGAACACAGCCACACCCCTTCATTTACTTAAAGTCTGTGGCTGTTTTCGTGCTACAGTAGCAGAGTTGAGTAACTGTGGCAGAGACCTCTGGTCCACAAAACCAAAGGTATTTAACTCTGGCCCTTTACAGAAAAGCCTGCCTATCCCTGGCTTAGAGCAATGTTTCAGACTCTGGATGAGAATTACCTGGGCTGTCTGGTAAACATACCCCAAACCCACCCATCTAAAACCTAAAAGACACTCCTGGAGGGAGAGCTCTAAGAATTTGCTTTGTAAATAAGCTATCTGGGTGATTCTGATATTTCCTGAAGGTTATGAACTTTGGCTTACAGGCTGGAAGACTTAAACTCAGCTGGAATCATGCATCATGGAAGCATAGATCGTACCCCGTTGTTCTCAGGAACTGCTTCTGACAGTTGAGGAGTCGTGCCTGGCAAAGATTCTCACTTAAGATTGGCCTTCATTCTGGAGGGATCCCAACCTTCCTGGACATAGTTATCACTCTCTCCCATAGTTAATAATAATAAAAGCTGAGAATGATCAAGCCCCTGCTCTGTCTAGGCCTTATAAGCATTACCTCATTTACTCCTTGCAACAGCCCCATGAATTAGGTAATAATACTGTTCTCAGTTTGCAGATGAGGATATTGAGGATCAGAGAGGTTAAGCAATTTGCTTAAAATCACACAGCTACCTTATTTTCTGCGGTGGCCCATGCTCTTAACTCCTGTTTTTTGTTGTTTTTTTTTTTAAGATTTTATTTATTTATTTGACACAGAGAACTCAGCAGGGGGAGAAGCAGGCTTCCTGCGGAGCAGGGAACCCGATGTGGGACTCGATCCCAGGACCCTGGGATCATGACCTCTGCCAAAGGCAGATGCCCAACCGACTGAGCCACCCAGGTGCCCCTTAACTCCTGTTCTTAACAGTGCTGACCTTGGGCGCCTGGGTGGCTCAGTTGTTAAGCGTCTGCCTTCGGCTCAGGTCATGATCCCAGGGTCCTGGGATCGAGTCCCACATCGGGTTCCCTGCTCCGCAGGAAGCCTGCTTCTCCCTCTCCCACTCCCCCTGCTTGTGTTCCTGCTCTCGCTATATATCTCTCTGTCAAATAAATAAATAAAATCTTTAAAAAAAAAAAAAAACAATGCTGACCTTGTTACCAGTTAGATGTGAAATCACCTAGAGACAATTTGAAGCTGGCCTTGAGTTTCTAGATCAAATGAGGCGGCCCAGGAGGCACTTGAAAGGGAAACACAGTGACCTCTCCAACTCTCTACAGGCTTTGGACATTCCTGTTAAGAGGGAAAAGGGTGGCTTAACAGAATTGAACCCCCCCTCCTTGTTGGTGCTACTGGAGAACTGTCACTTACATTGGGGTGACTTTTTGGGAGTCCTTCCTGAAATGTGGGATTTTACATAAAGGAGATCCTCCAAGCCACTGAAGCTTATTGCTTCAGGTATTGAAGCCTTTTACATTTTAAACCATTTTGATGGAAATCTTTCACAAAGGGATCCTTTGTGAACTGTATTTTGCCCAGCTGTTTCTTACTCTATTATAGAGTTTGCCCAGCAGAGGCCAGGAAAGCCCCTGGGCTCAGGCAGGTTTGGGCTTGAGCTGGGTTCCATCCTTTATTCACTGCATCTCTTAACTTTGCTGGACCTCAGTTTTCTCAATTCTAAAATGGGGAAGAAAGGGGCGCTTGGCTGATTCAGTCTGTGGAGCTTGCGACTCTTGATCTCAGGGTTGTGAGTTCAAGCCCCACTTTGGCAGTAGAGATTACTTAAAAATGAAAAATTTTTTATTTTTTTAAGATTTATTTATTTGGAGAGAGAGAGCGAGAGCAAGTGGGGGAAGGGCAGAGGGAGAGAATCGCAGACTCCCTGTTGAGTGCAGGGCCGATGCATGGGGTTCTATCTCATGACCCTGAGATCATGACCTGAGCCCAAATCAAGAGTCGGACACTCAACCAACTGAGCTACCCTGGCGCCCCCAAAAATGAAAAAAATTTAAGTAAAAAATAAAAAAAATAAAAATAAAGTGGGGATGTAACAGTCCCTACTTGCTAGGGGTGTTACGAGGTGTTAATCAGTGGAAATAGCTACCATTTATTGAGCACTGATCTCTTGATCGAAGTGTAGCTCTGACAAATGGGGAGGAGAGGAACTGAGGGTGACCATCTCTGGAATCAAGCTAACTTGCTTTTCTTATAAGTTGGGGTCAGGACTCCTGACCAGTGAAAGACTGCCTCTCCTCCATATTCCTGCATTCCACCAATCAGGAGGGAACGGGAGCTCCCCGAATTTTGAAACAGAACTTATTGAACCTACTTTCCATTTCTTGTAGCTTTGAGTTCAGAGATTAGAAAGCAAAACAACTCAGCAGAATGGGGACTAACTTTGGATCCTTCTGCTCTGGAAATCTGCACATTAGAAAGGGGCCCATCTGTGCAGACCCACTTGTAACTCTCCCTGGAAGAGACTTCCTGACCCCTGGGGAAATTCCAGACAATTGGTCAGGGCTGGACAGGGTGGCAAGGTGGTGGCTGAGAGGAACAGGCAGGGACAAACCCACTCTTTTAATTAGAGAAGATGAGCTAAACTTGGCATGGATATTTGCAAAGGGGGATGTGGGTCTCAAAATGGCCTGTCTGGTGAGAGAGGTGTAGATGCCGTGCTGGATTGTGCTGGTTCTCTGTCAAATTGGGGCCCTCACTTTGTGCCCCAACCCCCTTTCCCTGGCCAGCCTGGGCCTGGGCAGCCCCTGGGGCTCAGCCTAGATATTACTTCCTCAAGAGGCCCCTCCCAGCCCCCCACGTGCCAGGATAAGCTCTCCCCTGCTGTGCACCCCCATCGTGCTCCCCACACCGTCCCCCTAACTCATGTCCAAGTGGACTTGCTTGTTTTCCAACTGACCCCCTCACTGGGAGCCACGTGGTTTCCGCAGCCTTGTCCACTGCGTTCCTGGCTCTAGTCCAGCTCTGGGAGTGGGCCCCCCCCATGTCCCAAGCTGG